ACTAAAATAAATAAGACACTGATTTGAAATTAACAATTGAATAATTTAACCGATAAGTATGCGAGCTGCAAGTATACTTTAATACTGTAACACTGACGGGACTATGCAATATTATTTATTTAATCGTATCTATACTTATTGTTATTTATTTCACGAATACTCGATGGTCCCAAACTGTTGAAATCACGTTAATTATTATTTTTTCGGATAAAAAATTTATCAATCAATTTTTAAATTATTCTATAAAATCCCAGTCGTATAGTTCTTATAAGCATGAATATATATGTTTTATGGTAAATATTCATTGCCTTATCGTACATTATACACTATACTACTAATTATTAAAGACAACAATCAAGATAAAAAATACTGTTCACTACGAGATGTAGTTGAGAAATTTATCTTACATTTAATTTCTCAACCACCCACAAATTCAACGACTATAAAAAGATGATATTTATATATATATATATATTTAATATATTTATTTGTCTATTTAATATATATACATATATATATATATATATATTTATATATTCGTAAATAAAATTGAATAGAGCCAGTTAAGCCACTCGGGTGCTTTATATATGGATTTTAAAAATAAATTCAAAATATGCTCCTGTATTTACAAAGTTCGGTCACTTAAAGAAGATTATATATTGTATATAAGTCTAAGTAGCGTAGCCTATTTTTAATTGATTCTATCTACAAAAAAATATTTATTTATTCCCTCATTAATTCAATCGTTAATAATTGATAATAATATTCATAAGGGCAAGTTGTATATTCTTGTTTAGATTACAATGTAATTAATAACGACAAATTGAGACAAGGAGATAAACGATTAACTATAGTTAATTAATAAAAAAAAACCACGTAGAACAATGACATTTGAATGCGAAACGTCAAAGACGTCCTGGTTTTTAAGTTCAATTAAAACTTTCCTAATCGATTGTACTCTACGTCAGAGGTGCATATTGTAGCGCCTAAGCTCAGCTTTTTATTTAGTTGCACTTTTTACCCGGATAATATCGCAGTAAAAATAAAAATGATAATTTTCATTTTATCTATTGAAAAAGGTCCGGCTGAGAAGTTTTAAATAAATAATTAAATAGCTCATTAGTTTATTAACTAGTTTAAAAAAGTTATAAATTATACGTCTGTACGGAATGTATTTTTTAACTATGGCAATAGTTTTTAAAAACTGAAAATTACTAATTTATTATTTAGAGATAGCATGTACAAGAAACGTGAGAAGTTTGAAAGTTAAATTATTCAAGTATTGCATCGTGCATTATTCTTTTGTTACTAGTTTTTAACACTCGGCTGCGGGAGAAGCATGTAATGAGTGTTTAAGTAAATTAAAGTAATTAATACTTCTGGCAATAATGTCCTTCCCAGGTGAAACAATATTGTTTATACAACTTGTGGTTGTCGAAAATTTATTAAAAATAATAACTTTTAAATTAAAAATTTTTTTAATCAATTGAATTCGAATTTTTTTACTTTAAACAATATTGCTAAACCTGTGGAATCGCGAACTATCGTTGTTTAATAAAAAAAAATTTTTTTTTACATGAAAGTTCATCTACGTTACTGTCTATTTCGTACGTATACAAGTGCTCGCGCAAGCAAAAGTTCAATTTTAAAAAGAATATATACTTATACATTTAATTATATTAATATATATTTAGTATATATTTAATTTATAAAAATTAAATTAAATAAATAATATTGATTCATGTTTTACTATTAATTTAAAAAATTCACAGCGATTGGAATGTATTTTGATATTAAAAAAAAAAATAATTTTTTAAATATTTGAACCTCTGTTACTCGCCCTGAAAATTCATTTATTGTTTAATAATTTAAAGTGAAAATTCAATTTCATCATCCCTACAAAATATGTGACAGAATAAATTAATTTTTACGAAATTCACTGCCAAAATAAATAAAAAAATGTAAAACTTTTGATATTTTTTTTAAACCATTTAAATATTAAATTTAAATTAAACAAGCTAATATTGTTCGTTGGAATCAAATAAATTCTGTAATGATTTTTATTGCGAGTTTCAGCGTCATGGAATTGAAAATATTAAAAGCTTTGAAAAAAACAAATTATTTACACTTCAAGTTTGTAAAAAAAAATTTAAGTTAGAAGGTAGGGAGTTAACCGAGTGGATTTTATACCAATGTGTACTCAAAGTAGATTTAATTACATCACAGCAAGCTTATACGATGTGATAACTAAAAAATTTTTGCTAATAAATTTAGTCGTATACTTTGATAATAAAATTTAAATATATAAAAAATCGATCATCATCAGTCTCATCAAGAATGGAAATTTTCTTAATAATATAACAACTTTAATTGATTTTGAATTTTGTGTAACAAATTAACAACGGAACTCAAAAGAAAACTTTTAATTTTTCTAATCTTACAATCTAGTAGCACAATAATTAACAAACGATTTTAAAATACTGTCTCACAGATCACTCAAAAATTAATAGTAATTATTTGAACGCGTAAATTATATTTAAAATTTATACATCATAATCATTCCTTTAAATTTTCATGAGTCTCGGCTTTACTCGTTATTAAATATATATCTCTCTAAACGTATACATTTAACGATTTAAGTAATAATAAATGAATATAAGAAGTGAGTTTTAATAGCAGAGGATCAATATCACCGAGTGCGCTCTATGTAGTATATCTATTTTAATTAATACAATATGTATATGATAACCTAGCTAATTTAATATTTTCTTCACGTATTGTTGTTGTATACAAGACAACAAAGTAAGACTAAAAAGAGAAATGTTAATAGATCACTGTAGTTTAGTTATTATTGCACTGTCTTAATGGCTACCGTATCGACAGGAAACCGTCGATTTGGTCTCTACAACGTACTCTATTTCTACAAACATATATGATATATATTTATAGATCTATGCTTGGGTTAAATAAGTAATCAGAGTTTGTTATATTTTTCCTGTTCTCTTTTTAGTCTTTGCTTTTTCGAGCTATATCGGGATTTATAAGTATAGTACGTTATAATTTACCGATTTAAATATTAACAGGCTTCGTCGGTTGAAAAATCTTTTTTTGTAACTTTTTTAAAATTATTGATTAATGTGGTTAAAAATTCATTGAGTTATAAAAATACTTGTCAAGTTAAATTTATTTTTAAATCAAACTTATATCTGAATAATTTTATTTCATCGTATTGATGAAAATAATAGTAATAATATCTTTGATATAATGAATGGTCAATTTATCTTTGACAAAATTAAATTCAGTTAGCCAGAATAAATTTGGTTTGCCGGAAAAAGGTATTTGCTTTTAAAAAAAAAAATAACGTAGTCGATAAAAATTTTCATCTTCAACTGACGAACTGTCAAAATATGATCTAAACATTTAATTAATAAAAGAAAAAAAAATGACGAATTTTAAAAGCCACTATGCCAGCGCACTCTTATTAAAAACTTCCTAATGTGTAATAGCAACCCGACAGTTACGTACATTTTACTTATTACAGTAGCATGCTTGTAATCAATCAATCAATCAATCATAAAATATATTGATGATGATGCTGTTGAATATATATAGTAGCTCGTTATGTTTCACAATACCTTGAATGTCGTATCCATCAGCAGCGATCACGGTTTACGTCTATTCAGTAACGAACACTCCCAATCCCTTAGTGTTCCCGAATAATAATAAATTACGTCGTACGCGCGAAAATTACCCACCCTTAATCCCCTTTCTCATCAACTGTATAAAATATTCTCAATCGAATCAACAACAGTCATCGTACATCTCGTACAACGTTATTAGTACACTATTACAATTAATAATTTTAATAATAATAATAATAATAATAATAAAAATAATAGTATAATAATAATAAACATAAAAATAAAATTAATAATAATAATTAGTTTAATATATATCATTAATCATTATTAACCAATATACTATATTCACAGCATTTTATCAAAATCTCTTAAAAGCACCAACCGTGGCGGCTCAATTACTCTTCTCTTTCTCTCACCTCATTTTTCACTATAATAATTATTATTAAAACTTAAAATTTTTTTTAATTTATCCTATTGATTCTCACAATTAACTTCCAAGAACTCTGTCTGGTTATTCTACACTACGTATTTATATCAATTCTCGTCTTCGCGTGTTATCCTCCTAATATTTTACTTTAATAATTTATACCGACGTAGTAATCATCATGATAATAATAGTAATTAATTACTTAATCAATTAATAATGATAATAATAATAACATAACATTCATTGATGATAATATGTTGTAATTAAGCTAAACGTTTTTTTTTTTTTTTTGTCTTAAAGCACTGATTAAACGAGGGAGCTGATATTTATAGTGTCCCTCCCTCTGAACACGCGTTTATAAACCACGCAAATCCTAATCAAAATCACAGGACTAACTAGAAATACCTTCGGCACTGCCATCACACGTTGCAATTAAACACAACACAAGAACGATAACGTCTCCGTCGTCGCGAGCTGGACGCCAAGATCAGGAGGGGGTCTATTCATATTTATAATAATAATAATAATAATAATAATAATAATAATAATAACAATAAAAAAAAATGTAGTAGAGTTATCAAAAAAATAATAGATTGAACCTACGTGGGTGCGCGAACACAAAGGGATTGAGATCTTTGGACGAGGCTCAGAACAAAAGGATTCATTGTCAAAGGGGAAGAGGGCGGAGAAGGGGAGGAGGAGAGTGACGGATAGTAAGCACGTCGATAATTTCGACACTTGGCGTCCATCTCGTTGATGTGCGTAGTTGGTTGTCTCTTACTGATGAAGCTGGTGCCGTGATTGGCTCCGCCGAAGTGAGCGGATGAGCGTGGTACTGTTGCTGTTGTTTTAGTTGTCGAAATTGAAGTTGAATTAACGGTCTCAGTTGTGGTAGTGATGATGATTGGCGATTTTTGACGATGGCGACGAACTCAGTGATGTGGCGGCGGCGGGGGCTGAGGTGCCTCCTCTTCCGTAGGGTCAACGGGACTCGGTGACAGGAACTTACGGACGTACTTCGGATAGTGGGTCTTCTCGTGGGCTTTCAGTATCGTCGACCTGGAGAATGTTTTTCCGCAGAGCGTGCACCTGAACGGGCGTTCCCCGGTGTGGACTCGACAGTGGTCCTTCATGTGATGCCTGAGCTTGAAGGCCTTACCGCAGAACTCGCACTTGAAGGGTCGATCGCCCGTGTGCGCCGGTAGGTGGGCTATCAGCGAGCCAACGTCGGGGAAGGACTTGCCGCAGAACTTGCACAGCACGACGCCCGACGTTGGATCCGAATGGGCGGCGAGCTCTAGGTCCATCGGTTCCACCGGACCACCAGAGGGAAAGTGAGCCTCTGGAGGCAGGTGGATCCCCGGTTCGAGGCCCAGCTGAGCCTGCAGCTGCAGGTGTGCCTGCTCGCGGTACTTGAGCGACTCAAGGCTGTGCGATAGGATGTGCCGTGTCAGCTTGCTCTGGTGGAGGAAGGAGGCACCGCAGTACATGCACGCAAACACCCGCTCATCCACACCCATCAACTCCTGCAACCAAACAAACAAGAACATCAACTTCTTGCTTCCGGCTAACCTTTCTCTTACTCTCTCGTTCACTCTTTTTCTCGTTCTCAATTCTCAAATACAAAAGCTCTCGTAATAGATAATAATAATTAAATAAGAGCTCTTTTTTTTTTTTCTTTCTTTCTCTCTTTCTTACTTTTACTTTTTTCATTTTTTTTTTATTTAGTTTAAATACCTAACTAATTTTCTATTGATTTTTTTTTCGACTCTAAAGATGTTTACTTTGATGTAAGAAAAAAATTAAGAAAAATAAATTCAACAATTAATTATTAATTAATTAAGTTATTCAAGTATTTATTAAAATTATAATAGCAGTAGACCTTTTGATAACAAAGACCTTACAGGTCACAGCAAGACTGTTTCAAGAAAATAAAAAATATAAAATAAAAAACAAATAATTAAGGTCAAGGATTCTGCAGGCGTTACGCGCTACACATCACCAGCACTCTTAGTCATTGCATTATGTCGTGCTGTGGTTTTTTTAAGCTCTGATTGAGCGCTAGGAATACTGCATACGGGATGTGGGCGAGTGTCGCGTGCAGAATCACTTGTCACTCTCTCACTCTCTTTCATTCTTTTTTTTTATTTTTGTTTATTTATTTATTACTTTTTTTCTAATTATCAATCTACTCTACGTAATTTTTTTTGTTTTATTCTTAATTATTGGCAAGTGTTCAAGCGCGGTATTACGAGAAGCGGAGACTTCTCGTGATAGTTACTAATAAACTAACGTGAACAACGGCAGCACAAGAAGTTGACGCTCATTTTTGTTTGGCGCGCCCGTCCCCCGGTTTTGTTTTATTATTATTTATTCATTTATTTATTTTTTTTTTCTTTCAATTTAACTATGCAGGGTATTTCAATAACAGTAACAATAACAATAATAAAAATAATAATAATTGTATTTATAATAATAATATTATTAATAAAAAAAACAATAAATTATAATAAAAATAATTATATTATTAATTATTATATTATGAATAATGATGATAATAATAATGATTATAAATAATAATAATAATTTAGTAGTAATAGTATTAGTTGTATATAATATTAAAAATATATAAAAATTTCATCCCCTTTGGTATACTCTTCATCTCACAGAGTTAAACTCTTAATAATTTATCCCAAGTCTTAATCAACAAGAGCCGGCTCGTGTTGGTTTTATTTATAGTAGGTAGTTAATTATTATTGTAATTTATATTTCTGTTTTATACTAACACAATTTATAAAAAAAATGATAATAGTAAAATACCGCAACGCAATAATTAATAATATCGGAGCGAAGGCGCATTGCATTCAACCAAACGACAATTTAATAACAAATATATATGAATGTATATAAATATTTTTAAAATTTTTAAGAAATGTAACTGCAAAAGGTTGATGTTATCATAAGACAATAAACACAAATATATATTTATATATATTCCAAGCGGTACTAAAATAATTGTTTAGTACATTGAGGCTGAGGAAATCAATTTTAAAAATTTATTCGAGGTTTCGGCAACTCAAAAACCATCAGCATTGAGATACCACGGATAAATTTTGAAATTGAATCCCTTATACGATTATAAATGTTTCCTTTACTTGTACATGTGTATCCACATGATTATTATTATTATTATTATTATTATTATTATTATTATTATTAATATTATATATATTTATATATTTGTATTATAGATATGTAGTTGATATTGAAAAAAATAGATAAATAAATTAAAAAAAAAAATAAATAACAACCATGGCCAAAAACGAAGGTCAACTTCTTGACAGTGAGCTAGCAAGACAGGCTTTGGCGAGGATTTCCATTGGATAAGGTTCACAGATAAATTAAAAATATATGTTGAAATATTATTTAATGCAAATTATTGGAATTCGCGATAAAAGCAGACATTGAAATTTTGTAAAAAAAAAAAAACGTTTGAAAAAAATTAATTTTTTTAATTTATTCTGTGAGAAAAATAATTAAAACTTATTATTTTTTTTTTTTTTTTTTTCAAATAAGATTCATTAAATTGAAAGGATCAGGATAATTTTGAAATTTTTTTTATAAAAAAAAAAAGAAAAAAAATTTGCAGCTTCACACAAAAAAATTACTACGCGTTCGTAATATTAATAGTTTTTTTTTGTTACTTTTCTGGGAAAATTTTAGTGTAAGAGTTATGCGAGAACGAGGGTCGCCAACAAAACTTCTTCCGCAACACTTGATCGACAATTTTAAAATTACTCATAATTTTCTATGTTCACTAATTCATTTATACGTTTCTAATTAAATAAAATCAAATGAAAACTAAAAGTAAATTAAACTATAAATAAATTTTTTACGAGTTTAAAGCTAATACGGTCCTAGTGTACTCTAGTTTAATTAAAATAAAAAAAAATATATATATATATAAACATAACTGAACGTGGGGTAGGAGGAGCAGCGAGCAGCAAAGCATTTGGAAACATGCAGTAAACCCACATGCAAACGGTTTTATTTTGTTATTACAACATATTTTAAAAGCGTTTTTATTATGTATCGACAATATCTTGGAACAGTATTGCTGTATTTATTTATTTATTTACTTATTATATGTATTATTTTTTATTTATACTCTATATATTCGGTAATGAACAATGATAATTCCATAATTGATATAACACGATACATAATACGCTATAATTATTATGATAATTATATTCTTTTATGCATTATCATTGGCAACCTGATGACCCGGCTTTACTAATAATTGCAAATGAGTGTAAGTTCAGCTGACAATAATGATAATAATAAATAATAATAACGATTATTTTTATAGTATAAAAAATAAAATGCAGAGTAAAGAGCTTTAATAATAATCAAATAAGTATGTTTTTTTTTTTTTATAATAATAATATAACAGTAATATGATAACGATAAATAACAATTTATAATAATAAATAAAAAATAATTCATACCGAATAAAGACTCACCGGATCTGGTGGGAGTCTATAATCTGCAGACATTTCGCTGCTTGCACAACGCTCCTCAGTCGACCTTTCCCAGTCTACTTCTTTTTTCAAGGACTGTAATAATTAAAAATTAATTATTTACTGATTGCACTTTTACATTTTCTTTTTTAAAACTCGCGTTAATTTCATTTTTATCCACTAAAATTTTCTGAGTAATTGAAAACTTTTTGAATTGAATTTTAGATAAATAAAAGATTGGTTACTTTAAGATGAAAATAAATATTTGAATATTCAAGTAAATCCAAATAAAATATAAACTTTAAGTAGAAGAGTTAGAAGACTAATTAGTAATTTAGTAAACAAAAAAAAACTTACAAGTGGTACTTGTTGAACCGGAGGCAATCCAGAGGGTCCTGCGAGAGGTTCTGTACTGTGCGGGGACGGAAGCCGACTCTGCGGTAGATTTAGTGGCAAACCACCGGGCGTGCCAGTATTATTGTTATTACTTATACTCATATCGCTGGGGCCGCTGTGCACGGAAATAGGACTTAGAGACCCTCTTGTTTCTTCTAAGCTGCCAGCGTCTTCCGAGTCCCTTCGCGGTCGGTCCAGCGCCAGAGGACCCGGACAAGGGCTGCTCGCTCTGACCGGAGACGCCGGACATTCAGTCATGTCCACGGCTTCCGTACTATCACTATTATTGGTTACTTGCGGAACAGTTTGCTGTTGCTCCCGTTCTCTTTCTCTTTCTCGTTCTCTTTCGCGATCTCGCTCTCGCTCTCGTTCTCGTTCTCGTTCTCGTTCTCGTTCTCTGTCTCTGTCTCTCTGATCCCTAAGATCTCTCGTTTGTTGCTGCTGGTCAGATTCTTTGGGAATTTCCTTGTCGCGATCCTTTTCACGGTCCTTGTCTCTCTCTCGCATCTCTCCCCTAATTTCTCGGAGACTATCCGGACTTAGATGCTGTTGTTGTTGTTGCTGTTGTTGTTGCTGGTCATCCCTGGACGCAACCGCGGTGTTGATGTTGGTCATATCTGCGAGTCCCTTAACTTTCAGGCTCTCAGCGGTTTTGAGAAGAGCCGAGAGTTGGCAGTACTCGACGTTGACCTCACCCTTGTACATGAAATCAACGAGGGTACGCAGTTCGGAGAAACGGACGTCCTTGAGGATGACGATGGGGTGGCGATTCGGGTGGTCAAGAAACAAGGCTTGAAAATAGCTGGAGCACGCGGAGAGGACAACCTTGTGCGCACGTATCGACGGTCCCTCCGTGCACGCCAGCGTCACGTCCACCAACGATTCAGACTCCAGTAGTTGACTGAACACACCCAGCAAGTTGCTCTGATGATTGTTCCACCTCAGGCAGTAATGCTCACTTCCCATGTCTGAACTGCCCGCAACCCTGCTGAAGATTTTATATTAATTATCTGGTATTTATCGGTACAAATATCGTTTTTTATTTGATTTTTTTGAAAAAGATATCAATTTTTAGTTAATCTGATGTTATTTTTTAAAAATATCGACTTAAATTGTACATTTAGATTTATTACTATTATAAATATATTGATAAAAAAAATCAACTTTATTCAAGAGAAAAACATGATTTTAAATGATTTTCTTCGTTTAAAATTTTTTCTCATGAATCAAATTGATTTTTTTTTATCAATATATTTATAATAATAATAATAAATCTAAATGGACAATTTAAGTTGATATTTTTATAATTAATTTTTTTTCATCATGCATCCTTGTATCAATAAATTTTTCTTCATACAAGAATTTTAGTCATAATTTATAAATTTAAAACTCAATTCTTTTTAACCATTTAAACTTTAGTACACCCACAATTTTTATGTCTTTTTCACAAGTCTGAACTTATCTAGAATCGCCTTGAAGTGCATTATTTAACTATTCCGAATCCCGAACTATTTCGCTCGGCAATTATTCAAACTTTCCAACCATTTAAATCAAAGTATGCCAGACTATAAATGCCATTATTCATTATTTTTATTTACAAACAATTATTTATATCCAATAAACAAATACAATAAAATAAAACAAAATAATAAATTAACAAGATAAGTATGTGTTTTAAGATGAGACTGATTACCGCGGCACGTTTTGTGTATGTGTATGAGTATGAGTATGCGTATGCGTACGAATATGTGTGTATATCTAACTGTGGAGTGTCTTGTCAAGGCAATTACGTTTTACAAGACTCGAGTAAGCAATTCAAGCATCAAACTCACACAAAGCAAACTATACGCAAACATAAACATTAAATTCCAGAAATCGAGAAGTTTGCAGCGTCGTGTTATATTCCAGTAGCTGGAACATCACCAATAACACCAATGAGTTACGATTGTCTGTCTCCTTGGCCCATTGATGTTCATATATACCTATACCGGATACAACCTGGCTGACATTGGCTATCGATGCACTGCGTGTACGCTATATACTGGCTTACATTATCTTCTCCTCGCACTGCAATACCCGCGACCCGCTACTCGCTACTGTCAGTGCAGTGCATACTGCTGGCTTTTACATAATAAATTATCAGACGCACGAATAGACTCCTATCCACACTATCCGCACTAAAACGCGGTTCAAGTGAGTTAGTCTCGAGACAGCAGTAGTGTTGTTCCGATATATTATACAGCTCTACTACTGAGCTCTAGCCTACACGGCACTACTCCACAACTATACACCGAACATCGATACATACTACTAAACTCTGTTACTCAGTTATTATACTTGTCGTGTTTTATACCTATACCTATCATCTACATGTATGAGTTCATGTCTATTCATTTGTGTATATCTATTATTTATATACATATAATACGCTGCGTAACGATGTAGATGGTCCCAGTAGAAATGTAAACTTTATCTTACGCTCTATGGGTCTATAATATGCCATCAGCACGTTTATCTGATGTATGATACAATTAAATACATAAATCAAAACTTACGTTCAAAAACATGATAGCCAAATTTTTTAAATTGCCGATCAATTTAATTCAAATTCCGTATAAAAGATAAAAGATACAATAAATTTGATAAGATTATTTATAGATATTTAAATTTTGTAAAAAAAAGTCTTGAAAAAATTGTTTTGTATCTTCAATATTTTATTTGAACTTAAAGTTTTATCAAAAAGATGATAAGGAGTAAATGAAATTTTTAAATTATACCTCAAAAACTCAACACTGCTTAATGCGACTTTTGCACCTTAAATGTTTCTCCAAATTTTCACACAAAATCATTCAAAGTTCGTAGCTGTAGTCAAGCAAAAATTCTATACAATAGTCAAATTCATGTTTGTATTATTATCTTTATATATATGTGTATTATGTCAATTGTTATTTCAGTCACACGTGGTAATACATGACAGATATTAGCTGACGATACATGAATTTATCTCTTATCGCGAGCTTTATTTTTATTTTTTGCAAGGCTATATACCATATACTTTATATTTATTGTCTCACTGGTGTAATATGTTACACGCACGTTTTACCATTTGCGAGTTGTCGACTGGCATACGGATGATTGCTCAAGTCGCTTGTATTGCTAATGTAAAAAAACGACGCACGTGCGTGTAAGAATTCACTTATAAACGTATTTGAGAGCATATGTGGATGTGTGAGCTACGAGTGGGGGAGTGCGATCTATGTGATGGTGAATGCGTTGGCAATGTCATGAGTCGGCAGCACTGCTAATTGCTTCGTTCGATTATGTATTCTTAAGACTGCTACTTTGTAGTTGAGTTTTAGCATAAAAAACTGTTTAGTTAAGGAAAATATAGTTTTAAGATTAAAATACACTTTGAAAAAATAAGACATTGAAGCTGGATTTAATCGACGACGATAAAGTTAAGTCACGCGTCATGAAGTTGAAGTAAAACGTGTTTTTACACCTTTTTTTTTTAAATCTTGTTTGCGTATTTTATTGAAGAAACTTTACGTCTTAAGGATGCAATTATATTTAAATGAAAATTCTTCGGCCGCTGGAAAATATTTAATATTATTCAGTTTTACTTTAGCTTCTTTAATTAATCAATAAAATTTTTTTAGCTCAGTAGAATAATTTTAATACTATTATCGGATTAAAATTTTTTTGGAAAAGTTATAAAATTTAACTGTTTCAATGATTTATCAGCTTCATTTTATTACCATCCAATAGCTTTATTTTTCAAATTAAGTTTAATTATTACTGAACGTATAAAAAATTCAAGCAATTAAACATTCACGATTTATTCAAACTGTTATTGAATAATTAAAAAATTCAACTCCAAATTGCTGGTGCACAGATGAGAGAGTTATAAATATTTCAAAGACAGGATGTCGATATAACTTAATTTGACAGTCGTATGGAAGCTTTCTGTTAAATGTAATATATTTATCCCGAGTTTAAACGCTACCCCGTCATTCCAACACCAAAACTCTTCAATAAACCCTCCATTAATATATAATACAGCAGATTTCCATGAACTTATTAGTAAAAAAAATTGAATCTCCGGGTTCAGTGAACTCAACTATAGACAGTATATTCTTGTACGAGGATTTAAATATCATTTTTCGAGATATCTCTCATTTGATAGATATTATTTTTTAAAATTTAATAAGATGGACGTGTTAGCGATTTTCTATTGTCTAAGTTCTTTGAGCTTTATAACTGCGGGACAAAAGAAGCACTTGAAAAATAAAAAACTTAATATTTTTTTATTAAATATAAATGTAAAATTTTATCTTCATTCTTCGGTATTTTATTCAATTATAAGTCATCGTATTAGTGTCCGAGGTTTTACACATGATTAAAAAAAATTACGTAATAAGTATACGGCAAAATATGAAAGATAAATAAATAATTTATTTATTTATTTTAATGGGCAGAGTTTCTCTTGTCTTTAAGAGATCCATAAATAAGAAATAAATATCAATGTATGTATGAGGTTATAAAATTCATCATGAGTATCATAAATTAATAGGCATAAAATAAAATAATTATGCCATTCAGCAACAAAGTTGTCATCAGAGAGATTTTTTTTAAATAAATAGAACTTTAGAATTATATTTTCTACAATGTTGCGAATTAACATTTCTAATTAACGATTATTATAGATCTGTCATACTTAATAAATTAATAAAACATTTATTGATCGTTTGAACGTGATTTAGGGTTTACATAAATATTAATATTTTCAAAGATCAATACAATATTTAAAATACGATAAAAATATATGTCGGTGATTAAACAATTGAGAAATTAATCCCTTTCAATGCAGGTTAGACCTTTTCATGTTCCCGCTTTTTATTTGCGTGGGGTAAAAAAACCGGTAAGTTCTTCTTTGGGTATCAAAAGAATGAATTGAAATGAAGAGTACAAAAGGAATCGGATTGTCTGTATTGTAGCGAGAAGTAGTGTCGGAGTTGAGACTTAACTAGAATATAAGTAAAGGTAAATAAGAGGAAAAAGGAAGTAAAGCAGCTGCGAATATCTTTAAACTATACGAATTGAAAGCAACTCGGCGCATCGTGTAGAGTGTGTTATATAATAACTCAGTATGAGGATGAGTATATATATAAGCATGAGAGGAAAATAGTTTAACATGTATAGATGTGGAAGTGGGAGTAAAGGAAAGGATAAGAAGAAGGAAGAGCAAGAATAAGTTGCCGTTATTTATGTCATTTTCGCGGTTTTCTCTGGGTCAATTCATTTATAATGACAGTGAACGTATATGTCTCTCAGAGCCTATTCTTTAAATTACCCGCTGCTGCACTGATAGAAGGATTTGTTTATAGTAAAAAATATTTGTTAATATTTTTAACTATAAACAAATCCTTCTATCAGTGTGAACTTGCTCTTTTGAACAAATTCAAATTTTTCTATTTTTTGTTATTATTATTATTATTATTATTATTATTATTATTATTATTTTATGTTTTACACGTAAAATAAATTATTGTTATTGCATCTATTTAATATTTATCCCTGTCTTGTGCTCATACATGCGGGATAGATGAACCAGATGTTAAATATGAGCATGCATGATTGTACCGTACATATTCGCATACCCGTTGTTATATATGTGTGTATGTATCGTATTATATGTAAAGCATCGCATTCAACACACACGGGGCTTAGGCTCAAGAGCGCGCGTTAATTGATACGCGTTCCATCTGTATGGAAGTAAAGGCGCGTGGGACGGACGAAGGAAGAGGTTCGTGTCAGTAAATTAGCACCGGGATTGCACGACGCCGCAGATTGCCCCCGAGAGTTGATTTCAGGTGTCTGATATTTCCCTGTCACTTTGCTCCCAACACTCACGATTCATTACTTTACTTTTTTTTTTTTCTTTTCGTACAATACGTATATTTTTATTGTTTTTTTATCTAATAAATCAAACATATATCCTGACGATTGCTGAATCATTTATCGGTTCAATTTTGATTATTATTTCTTTTCTTTTAATTTAATTATTTTTGGCTGTTTCTAATTAATTTATCATTGAATATTTTGTTGCATAATATTCCTTATCAGGTGATAGGTGTATAAATAAAAATAAAATTTTTTCTGAGACAGTTGGTGATTTATTAATAAAATATATTGATAATATTAATACTTATATATATTTAATACTCACATACTATATGTTTACACATAAAGGGAAAAATGATAGAGTATATTTGTAGTGATTAAATATTTAAATAACGATCAAGTATATTAGAGAAATAAATAAACGAATATATACGTATGATAACGCGGAAAATAAATATTTAGCTTGCGGGATGTTTTAATTCTGTCGATTTATTTAAATGTTTACTACCTGGCTATTAATTACCTCATTAATTTTAGCGATCATCAGATTTTCTTATTTTACGGATTAGTGTACAACAGTAGCAATTAATTAATATTTGTATTAAAGTACAGTACATAACATATAATATTATTACATAAAGAGGATTTGAATGTTAACGATTTTATAGCGGGATTGTGATT